TTGCACAAAAAAGGTTGAAAAACACTGCCTTAACGAGCCCCAGCTGCTTGTTATCTTCTCCTGTGAGCATCCTGAAACCACTCACCTGAGATTTCTGTATCAGTCTTATAGCAGCTCCAAAGGCTCCTACCGAGCCACAACAGGTATTTATTTCTTAATAGCATATTTTTTAATCTCAAATCCTTAAAATGTACGTCATAGGATTACAAGAAAATGCATGTGCATATAAAATCTGGTCTAATAGGCACATATATTTCATCCCCATAGCATTATTGTACAATATTTCCGTAAGCATTTTGTTTCCACCATCATTTCCTATAACCATTATAAAAAGTATTGCTTTGCTTGGTGAGTCTTGTTGGAACAATACAATTATAAAATTGAGATGAAAGTGATCTCGTGCTCATTCAATTCAAACCCCTCTTCAGAACAGAAATATTCTAAACTAGGTATGTCCAAAGTCCAGCCTGGGGCCAACTGCAGCCCGTTTTCAAATTTTGAGCAGTCCTCAGCTCAGCCTGTCACTCATCCCCGCTGGCCATCATTTTTTCCTTCTTCACACATTAATGTTAATGGTTCAAAGAATGTCAGGCTGAATGGTCGGCCCCAAACATTTTCACCTCACTAAATCTGGCCCTCCTTGCAAAAATTTGGACACCCCTGTTCTAAACTGTCTCTAACAAGTCACCATTCAAAGTCCATTTGAAAACATCCAGTGGGAGCGCCATTTTCTAGAGATACTACTTCACTCTATGGTTCTTACTGGGAAGAAATTCCTCTGGATACTCAGCCTAAATCTTTTAATATCAGTTTATCTCCCTTCAATCCCCTTAATTTGATGATCCAGCTAACTACTGCCTAACCTGTTTATTAAATCATATCTGCAAAATATTTGCTAATCAGGAGAAACTAATTGCTTGGCTTGAATCTGAAGACATTGTGATGGATGAACAGGCTGGGTTTTTAAAAAGACAACAAAATTAGACCATGCTTTGGTGCTGCAATGTCTAACCAAAAAAGATAGCGATAACAACACTTTGACAATTAATTAAATTCTAATGATTAAAACAGGAGCAATCCTTTTTCAGGATCACTTGGCTTTTGCAGAATAATCTCTGCTGCAGCTACACAATCCTAAAAATCATAATTTCAACAAGAATGCTCATTCTTTTTAGAAATAAATTATGATTTCAAGTATTCACAGGATGCCCAGTTCAGATATACAGGTCAAATTATAATTATCATAGCCAAGAAGTAAGAAATTAGTCGATGCATGATGTTGACCTTGGAGCCTACAACCATAAAGATTACTCAATAACTAAAATCGTGACATTAAATTGAGTTTTGGAAGATGTTTCAAGTGAATTTATGGATAAATACATGTGTATATTCATACCCAAAATAAATTCAATTTGCAATTTTTAGGAAAGAAATACTTACGCTGCCCCCAGCGCCCAGTTCTTGGATTCAAGTAGTTTGGATAAAGTCCGTTAGGACGGTCCATTTTCTGAAGCAGTTTACGAATATGCATAACCTTAATAAGAAACAAAAGGTAACCATGGTTTCTTCTCAACATTCCTCTGATTTTTTTAAAATCAGATTTTTTTAATCAATTGACTCCTTAATGTATTTTAAATAATTAGAAATGTTATAGTTGAACTAATAACCTGTCTTAAAATTACAATTAAAGAAATATTGAGAAAAGGTGTAAGTATGTGGTACATCCACATCCACATGCATTTTTCCATCTTATCTATATTTTCACGTCTTGAACTATATGAGTATATCAGAAAGAGGCACAAAACAAACCTTTTCATAGTAGACAGGATTGCCAGTCAGATAGCTGAGGTGTACAAATTCCATGTGAAGTGTACCGAACTCTGAGAGGATGCTGCTGCCAGCGGAAGCCCAGCCCCAATTGCGACCTACACCGCTAATCAGAAAACGATAGGAAAAGGCTAAGAAAATGTATTTACAAGAAACAAAAACAAAAAGCAAGGAAAGAAAACTGACACTTAACAAATAAAAGTAAAATTGTAGTACACTTTAAGTTTATGACCTTAACATATAGTAAGTACAATTTGGAGCTGTCAAATAAATCCAAAACAGCACAATATGTAAATTCTTTAAACTGCTTAGCTGATCTTCAACAACAGTAAGAAAAGCTAATTAGAAGTTTTACATTATTCTTCACTGTGCCAGGTTTCTCTGTCCATACTCGTACCTTTTCAAATTCACCATTGCCCAAGGAATCCCTGTGGGTGTATTGAAGGCCGGGATGAGCTTTCCTGCTAATTGCACTGCTTTTATCTTGAATAGCTGAAACAGATGGAGAAAGACAGCTGAACCATAGTCTGCTGTTTACATTCCAAACCTAAACACATCTACTCAGAAGGAAGCCCTCTTCTAAGTATTCCACCTGACACACATCCACATAAATATTCTTCCACAGCATTTTTTCCACCACTATGCCAGTAGGAAGGAATAGATTTCAGTGATCTGTACTTTTTAAAAAACAATTTTATTAAACTTATCAAAATGTAAAATAAAGTAAAAATAAAAATAGTAGGAAAGTGGAGAAGGGAGAAAGAGAAATGTGGGTGAAGGGGAAAAAAGAAAGCGGAAGCATTCTCTTCCAACTCTTTTCAGCGCAGTAGAATAAAAATAACATTACAGCCTCAACTTTTTACTTTTGCATACTTAGTATATGCTAGCCGTTTTTTTATAACAACAAACTTATCAGTGATCTCTACATCTTGTCTGAATTTATTTCAATTTTATCTTCTATAATGGATGGCAAAGGTCTTCTGGATAATTTTCTCAGTACATTGTATATTGAACAATATCTGCATTAACAAACTGGAGACAAAAAACTTGGGAGGTTCTCTACTTTCTCTATATAAATGCTATATAATTCTTCCTACAATTGAAGGCTACAGCAATTAAGATGTTGTTAAAATTATTGCTTAGCATTATTATTAATGCAAAATTGGAACTAGCCTATATTGATGGACAAGTATTTCTCTTGTGGCACAGAAGACAAATTGGGTTTGTGGGTTGGTTGGTTGGTTTTCCTTTTTATCCAATAAGGAATATACACTTTCTACTTGTCTGCGGCCTAAAAAGAGAGGAGCTCACCTTTAAAAGGAAACCAAGATCTAGCTAAAAAGTAACCAAAAAGATCAATGCAATATAGAAGTGTTAAAGAAGGAAAAGGTTTTAAAGTCTTCCTGGTGAGAGTATAATATATGCCATTAAAGCTCCAGAATAGATCTCATGTAACTACAAAAACTGGGCTGTTCATAAATACTAGGTGATCATTCAGAAGAAATGGAGTGAATGCTGAATCAGTTAATGAAAAGCTCAGAGGTGATATAAAATATTGGCGTTAATACTATCTTCTTCATATAAATGCATAGCCTCATAACAATTTTTTAAAAACAAAAAACAAAACTATCTGAAAATCATTACAAGGACCTCTAATATAATAACCAAATTCCTCTAAGTTCCTAAGTGCAGAAGTTGGCAGTCTGCTGCATTTTAGTCCCCAAACCATGTTTTTTTAAGAGATCAACAAAATGTAATTGGTAAAAACTGTCTGAAAACAACCCAAAAGGTATAGAATGATTCTTAATTTTCAAAAATGAAATGAATATGAATAGTTATGTGTGTAATAGTGAAAAATTTACCTCAGAACCCTGAATGTTCTATACTACACCCTCCAATTTTACTATGATGTAATTATCCACTGTTCTGCGTTCATTAGGCAAGCATTTTTTTTCATGTAGCCATTTTCATCCCTAAAAGATTATTTGCCTTAATCAGTCTTTCAGAAACTCAAATGCTCATTTTTTTTAGCAATCTTCTGCCTTTTTTAAATCAAACTGTTTTGTCATCAGTCAATTGTCTGACTTTAAAAAAATAATGCTGGAGATTGCTCTTTACTTCTCCCTTCCCCTTTTTTAAAAGTCTTGAAGTTTATAAAGAGACAAAGGCTGCCCTATGCTTCTATTTGGAGCTGCTTTAAGAGTTATTTTAAGCTAAAGTACAATATAAAATGTATTACATAATTAAAAAAAATAAACTGAAATTTGAGACTTTAAAATAAAAAGAAGTATTACTAAACATTGACTGATTAATGTTTCATCACAATAGTTCTTCTCATATTAGAAATAAGATGAATAATTAGGATTTATATATGACTATATCATATTAGTACTGATTTTCTGTATACACCTGAATCTAATTCACTTTCTCCAACCATAAATATGTAAATCAAATTTTATGTAAAAAAATAAATTCTGCAACTACCATAATAGATAAGCTAATTCATAATTATTTTTCTTAGTACTATATCCAAAGGAAAAATCAATAAGTTCATTAGGGAACCAAAGGACTTTCCTTTAGCTATGGAAAATAAATTAAACTTAAGATTTTCTCAGTATACTACTTTCTGAGACCAATATCAAGAGTTTTCTTTCATTTAGACATAAATTGAGGCTCAGATTTCATCAGTTCTGGTTACCTACTAAACAGCTTGTGAAATGGGATGAAAACAAGCAATTGCTTCCTTAAAAATTTAAGAACAAGCCTCAAACTTTTACACAAATATACAGTGACTCCCTTACCTCCTGTCCTGAGAGGTAATAAGCTGCAAGCAAGCCACCAATGAAACGAATGTTGACTTCAAAGACAGATACCTCTGAGTTCTTGAAACAGATAAGAAGGTAGATTCTTTAGGTATAAACTAAATACTAATACACTGCATTTACATTTCATGTGCATCCTTAAAGCAACTAGAGGATTTTTGCAGACCAATTGCAATTACTCTTTATAGCAGTTCTTTGGGATAGTAAGCCATTGTTGCTACTAGTAACAGGGAAAATTAATTACCTTGAGTTTAGATAGAAGGATACATTGGGATTAATTAAAACTGGATTTGAAAACTTTTAATATAACTCTTAAATGGATCAAATATAAAGAGTGAAGATTAAGAAAAATCTTATGTGATTTCTGTTTTTTTTTAAAACAGAAAAATATGAAAGTCGCCGAGAAAAAACTTTAGTACAAGCTAACTAAAATTGTATTTTTAATATTTGATGAGACTAAAACAGTGATACCTAATTATGCAAAATATCACTGGACATTTCAAAAGCAGATCTCATAAAAAATGAGTGCAAAAGAAAAAACTACTAGCACAACACAAATAAGTGCTTGTAAATCAACAGGAACATTCATTCTCTCTTAAAAGATTGCAATAAAAAGTGTGCTTGAAGTTTTACAAAGCTTTCATGTCCGTTATCACAAATCATTTAAAACACTAGTAGAATGAAAATTTAAATTTCTCGGACCAATATTATTCCAAGATACATTTTCTTACCACACTAAAATCAAGATGATTCTCAATCCATTCCTGTCCTTCTCTGAATTCATCATGAAGGCCCATTATATAGAGGGTATCCAATGCATCTACTATGCTTGCTCCCAGCTGGGAATTGCCTATAATCAAAATCCAGTATTTCCATGATAAATATATCATTCACAAATATCCTTTCCAGGGCCATTACCCACTTACCAATTGAAACAATACTTCATAAATATTTAATGTCCTTATATAGAAATCAAATAAAGATTAGACTAAGAATACAGAAATAATTAAAAGAGCACTTTTATGAAAATAATCATTCACCAACATTTACAATATGGGGCTGGTCTTGAGGCTAGCAATTCTGGATTACAAAAGTCTGGATGTTTACCTCAAAACAAAGAATTGTTTCTGATCATCATCTGCTACAACCAGTTAAGCCCAGATTCTTTTTAGGCCAGATATGGTAGCCCAAACTACTTTTACCAAATAATTACTAAAGGTATTCCTCACTTAACAATCATTCACTTAGCAACAATTCAATGTTGCAACAGCATTGAATATTACAACATATTTGTATTCTGAATCAAGGGATTATAGGGTTGTAAAAAGAAAAAAAAGTATCCTGCTTTTATTACTTTTACAAATAATACAAGATGCCGAACATATCCAACACCACCTTTCTCCTCCTATTTTCCCCACAACAACAACCCTGAGAGGTGAGTTTGGCTAAAAGGTATGACTGACCCAAGATCACACAGCTGGCTTTCATGGCTATGGTAGGACTTGAATTTACGGTCTCCTGCTTTCTACCCTGGTGCCTTAACCATTAGACCAAACCAGCTCTCAAACGTGTCCTTGAAATTACCATTGCAGGGTCTTCTCATTTACATGATCAAAAATTGGGTGTTGGGCAGTCTGCCTGCATTAATGACAAAAGTGTGCTTCAACGCCCCCCCCCCCAACTCATCTATCTTGCTGCCATCTCTGCTCTTTTGACCTGCACTCTGCTGTCCTATCACCCTGCCACATACTACATCTGCTGCC